TGAAAACAAAAGGTGCCAAATGGCATTCAAGACGCGAGCGCGAGCAGCTGGCCCGACTACACATACATGAACGGTAACGGGGTTATATCTTTTTAATTTACATATGTAGGTAGGAAACGTCACATTGTAGTGACTTGGGCGCCTACCGCGGATGTGAGTCCCGTGACTTGCTTTCCGTAGGCGACGATGCAGCTGTGCACGTCTTTGGGTGCAGGTAGCCGACTAAACCGAAACAATTTCAATTTCAATTTTTATCCCTTCACCCAATCAAATAACCAGGTAAAGGGAATACGGAATACGGATAAACAGTATATTCTATATACAGTATAGTTGGAAACATGCATAATAAACGGTGATAAAGATGTCATCTATTCGGTTGGAGTAAATTGGATCATACATGTGGTATTGTTTCGTTCCTGATCATTTTCTCTATTTTAGGACTAGGATCACTCTACTGAAGGTAGTATAATCGACGTAGCTATTTTGTTAGGGGTTGGCAGAACGTTGCTGCAAACGCCCATGATGTGGTTGCCCATGAATACTATCTCAAAATTCACGTAACTGTGATTGTCATCCTCGTACATCTCCACCTCAATCGTTGGTTCGGAAATATACCTCCGTATTTTAAACTGGTGCAACGTGTACACGCTTGGGTTTGGTCGTTCGTGCTGATACGGTCCGAAGTCCTGATGGCCGTCGGCGTCAAAACACTTGACACCGCGCCGGCTCGTGCCCATGGAGGCAGCGAAGCCTACTTTATTTACAACAACAACTAAGGCAGCCTTCGCCGCTGACTACTTACAAATGAGCGTCTACTTGTCGTACACGTCGTGAGTCCTGCCTGTTCGCCTTCCAAAGTCACTTGGGTGTTCGCTTTGCGCGTCAACCCTTAGCGCAACCCACGACAGACTTGGAGACCTCGCCTCGTTCGTTTGCCTGTCCTCGGTCTGCACACGCGCCCGCAGCCGTCCCTCACAAGTCGCCGCCAACTCCGTCAGCCGTCCGCTGTAGCTTTCCACTCGCTCCCGAGCGTCGATGTTGAGGATCTGTCCCGCTTGCTCTTAAGCCGGTCAAGTCAGAAGTGAGCTCCACGTGTTCCATTCGAATGAGCGAGCCCCCATGGCTCTATTCGCAAAGATCCGGAGCTCTGCCGTGCTGCCAGATCTTCCGTCAGCGAAATCTTTCGCAGACTACGTTCCACACTTCGCCCACGTTCAAGGTCGCCAGTCAACGCTTCTACTTCAACCACGCCTTTCGTCGTCGAAACGCGGATCCTCTTACACGTCTTCATCAATCCAAGGGCCTTCCACGACCTGTTCGTCATGGTGCAATCGCTCATGCTCTTGATAGAGATCCATCGTGCTCGAACTTGTCCGTCCACAGTCCAACGCTCTTTTTCATCCGTTTTCCATCGGTTTGGATCGCTACATGGGCTGAGCTCGTACTCAAGGTCGTACTGGTCCGCTCTGTTTCGTCTTCGGTGTCTGCGGGGCTCCACCAAGAGGCCACGCGTGACGTCGTGCCCGACATTGTCATCAATTGCTGTTCGTATTCTCTTTTTGCCTCGTTTCGTCGTTGCTGGCTCAAGAGATATTGTCGCTGTAAGAACAGGCGCTGCTGCCTCCGACTCATTCCCTTCTGACTGCCGCTCTTCATACGCAATCAGTTCGTCGATGTCTAGCGCCACCTGATCAAGTAGCGGCTCTGGGTAGTGATAACTAATGCGAAATGATACGTGAGCGATGATAGTCTCCTGCTTTGTCTTCTCTCTTCAGCACGAAATTGTCAAAACCTGCAGGTTCCACAATACGAAGTGGCCCCATCCACTGGTGTACCAATTTAGTGGCTTTCTTGCCGCGTGGCTGGCTGTGCATCCATACCACGTTGCCGGCGTGAAACCCCCGTCTGTTTCTGATTCTTCGGTTGTAGTAGTGAGCTTGCCGTTCCTGCCCTCGCATTCTTGCCAATTCAGCACATTCGTGACGTCTTTTCATTACGCGCAACAGGTTCTCTTGGCATGATGGTAATTCACCTGCTTCTTCCACCTCAGTTGGTCGTAACAGTTCATTTGGAGTTCGTAGCCGTCGGCCCATCATCTACTCGTTAGGACTTAGAGCTATTGTAGAATGTTGGGCGGAATTATACAAGTAAACTGTAAACTAGACCCATAAGTTTCAATCATTTTGTCGTTCGTCTTGCATGAAAGTCGTTACACAATCATTCCAAGTTCTGTGAAAGCGTTCAACCAGTCCCACAACTTCAGGTCGATACGGTACGGGGTTTACCTGCTGTGCTTGGAGAAGAGTGATCAGTTCCTCGATCACTTTACCTGTCATCTCGGGTGCACCTTCCGTAAGTAGTTCTCGAAAAGTGCCAAATCGTAGCACTACTTCTTGCATGAGAAACGTTGCCACACTTTCAGCAGTGTGCTGAGTCACGCAACATGCAACTGCACAACGCGTGACGTACTCTACAACCGCCACATCATACAGTTCACCACCGTCGGCAAAAGGGAAGGGTCCAGCCACGTCAAGGGTCCATCTATCGCACACTGCGCCACCTCGTAAACTGCGCAAAGGCGGAATGGCTTCGCGCGGGTTTGCCTTCCGCGATCCACACTCTTGACATTCACGCACCCATCGCCGAACTTCCTTCGACAAACCTGGCCACCAGTACACTTAGGCCACTCTGCTATATGTATGGGGTCCACGCAAATGCCCACTCCACACGCTGCCATGCATTTCCTTAAACACTGTCGTCCACAAAGTTGGCGGCAACACAACTCGTCTGCCGTTTGCCGTATCAATAGTCACCAAGCCATACTTGTCTTCCACTGTCATGCTTGCCTGCCGTCAATAACCTCTTGACAAACTTACTACACTGCTGAGCCGTCTCGATCTCGTCGTCCGTGTGTTGAAGCGTAAAGTCTTCGGCTGGGGTGGGTTCGTCATCAGCACTCAGTCCGTCAACGTCGTTGGCTGCATCACCTGTCGTCGTAATATCCACACTCGTTACGTCCTTGCCCGCCACGCCCTTGCTCTTGGACTTCGACACTTGAGGCGTCGACAGGTCTTCACGCTGCTGCTAGCGTTTGTCGTGGCTTTCGGCCGCTACTGTCTGCTCACTTGTTCAGGTTCCCTCGTCTCGTCAGGGACTGTTTCTCGGGCCCAGCTATCGCTCCTTCGGCACGGGGAGACACTGTCGTTTTCGAGCTCCTCGTGGCCGTCGCTGACCGTCGTCTTTTGTCTCGCATCATCTCTGTACTCGTCTCAGGAACTCAGACACCACCAGGGACCATGATTTCTGTTCGTGGCGCTGTGGCAAGTTCCGTCTACAACGCTGCAGGTTCCGTGATCGCCATGGTCGTCTCTACTACGTCTTCCGTCGCCGCTCCTAGTTGGCTGACACTTTGCGCATTCTCGTCCGTCGCCATCCAATACACGTATCGTTGTGCCCGTTCGTGAATCTGAGCACTGCGTCGCGTCCCAGGCACCACCGTCTTCTTTTCACGTCGCCGTCCAACCGTTGCTGTCACTGCTGCATCTTCATCTCGAAGTGCCATTGTCACGTCGCCACCGCTGATTTTCGCCGTCGTGGTTACATCCAAAGCTGGCGTCGCGTTGTTGTTGTCTTCATGCGTGTGTGCCTTCCCTGCTTCATTACGGGCTTCAGTTGTAGCTGCCGGCACCTACTGCAGGTTCCCCACCTTGCTGTTCTCAACGTGTTCATCTTCACCACCAGGTATTGCGTTGTCAACAGGTGCCGTTGTGTGCGCATGTCCGTCCGTCACCGTTGCGTCTGTTCTTGGTACTGTCGCCGTACTCGTTATTCCTGCGGCGTCGTCCGCCGTAGACGTCGCTACCTTAGTTTTGTCCGTCGAATCCGGCACTGGCACTTTCGCCACTATCGTTGGTTCCACATCAGCCGCTGAACCGCCATTCCTACCGCATCGTCACTTTCCGTACCCATCAATTTAGCCGTCGTCCTGGTTGTAGCTGCCGTCACCGGGGCTGCCAGTATTTGTCCGGCATCCATAATCGTCGTGTGCCTCCTATCATCGTGAGGTGTGACGTTAGTCGCCAATCCGCCACTCTCCAATGCTGTCACACTTACTTCCGTATTTGCACTTCTCGCCGTAGCTGGTGGTGGACGTCATCGCTACCGTCCAACTGCTACTCGTACAGCTGCAGGAGCTCGCGAAAGAGCGTCTGCCACTACGTAGGTGGATCCAGGTCTGTATTCGACCTGAAATTCATACTCTTGTAACACCAAGGCCCAGCGATGCAGTCGTCCTGCGAGCGTGGCGCGCGTCATCTACCACTTGAGCGCGCATGGTCAGTGATTACCGTAAACGCTCTGCCGTACATGTAGGGCCTGAACTTCTTACGACAACAAGGCAGTTTAACTCGGTATTAAAATAGTTCGACTATGCCTTGTTGTTCACCTTACTTGCATAAGCTATCGGTTGCCAATCATACCCAAGATTCTGCATCAGACAACTTCCAAGGCCCTCTTTACTAACGTCAGTCGCAAGCCGAAATGGTAACTCGAAATTGGGGTAAAGCAGAAGTGGACGCGTGGTTAACAGCAGCTTCACGTGTTCAAATGCAAACTCTTGTGCTTCCCACCACCCACACTCGACATCTTTCTTCAATAGTCTGATCATAGCCTCCACAATCGATCCAAAAGCCGCAATGAACTTTCTGTAGCAGCCTGCGAGATGCACGAAACGCTTCACCTCCGTCGTATCAACAGCCCGGGGAAATTCACGAACAGACTCCACCAGTCTCTCTGCAAGTTGAACGCCGTGATTACTTAAATGGTGGCCAAGGTACTACATCGACGTTTTCATAAAGGTGCACTTCTTTAGCTTCAGACTTAATCCAGCCACTCGCAATCGCTCTAAGACACCCGCCAACTCGATCACATGGCGTTCGACGCCTTCTTTCATGAATATCAGGATGTCGTCAAGTTAAACCAGGCACGTGTGTGAGCCATTTCTAACCGCGCAACATACTATTCATCAATCGCTGAAAGGTTGCTGGGGCGTTTGTCAGTCCAAAGGACATCCGCTTGAAGCGATAGAGCCCCCGCTTCGTTGTAAAGGCCGTCTTATCACGATCTTCTTTTGCCACTCTGATCTGCCAATAACCGGATCTCAAGTCCAGTGTAGTGAAGAGTCGTGCGCCGCCTATTGACTCCAGAGTGTCATCGTGGTGGTGGGTAGACGTCTTTGTGCGTGATGGAGTTCAGCCGTCGGTAGTCCACGCAGAACCGTACCGGGCCATCCTTCTTCCGTACCAGCACCGCAGGAAAGCCCCAGGCGCCATCCCCGTGCTCTATTACACCTGCTGACATCATCTGGTCTACGTTGTCATCTACAATCCTGTCTCCCGTTTGTGCCTGCCGTCTTCGCCTCATCATGATTGGTGCTGCGGTGCCAGTGTCGATGTGATGTTCGACATTGAGTCGGGAGGGCACTCATTTTGATCATTCGCTAACGCACAGCACGCGCGTAGGAGTTTAAATAGTAATATCCGCGAGCCTTCGCCTTCGTCCCAATAATCACATCGCCTTCGTCGTCCAAAGGTGTATTTGTGTCGCCCAATTCGTCAAGCCATCCTCGTACTCGGTCAGTCTGTAACTCACCATGCATCCGAAGAAGCTCAATGTCATCATTTACAGGTATCCACACTCCTAATTCTCGCTTACTCGGCAGCTTAATTCTTCCTCCGTGCGTATTGACCGCAGGTACCAGAGCTTTCCCGTTCTTCACGGTGGTCACAGCCGACGCCAACAACACCACACCATTATTCACAGTAGGTAGGGATATACCTGTTTCGCCATATTAAGCGGCAACAGCGACTTCAACAGATTGTACCGCTCGTTGGTGTAAGTTGGTGAACTTGGCCTTCCTCACGGCGCCCGCCTTTGAGTCGCTCTCGTCTTCAGCGGCCCTGAACGGAATGATCACTCCACGCCCACGTTCAGCGTTGCGCACTTCGCCTCGATCGAAGTCCATAGTAGCACGATGCTGTCCCAAAACGTCAACTCCCAGTAGAAATTCACTTGTACATCCCTCGACAATGCACGCCTCGATCGTCACTTTTTGGCCGTACACGTTGATCAGGTCAAAGGTCCATACGCCCAAGACATCTAACAAAAAACCACCGATTCCTTCAACATACGTCACCGGAGCACGGGTACTCTTCTTTTTGCCGCGCGCTATTCAATCCGTTCCCGAGACGGAATATCTCGCCCCACTGTCAATCCTAACATTCTGCTGTATCCCATAGACAAGCATAGCAGCCGTACGTAGACCATCACCAGCTTCCACACTCACTCCGTCATCACCGTCTGTCAGGGTTGCTGCCACGGTAGTACGCACGTGCCGCACCAAATTCACACGCGCTATCTCATTCACCCGCACGCCACCTCCAGTAGACCGCTGTCGTCGACGTACTTCTAGAGCTTCTCGCGCCTCGGTTGCTTGCTGCTGCCGTCGTGTTCGCTGTTCTGCTTCTAGGGCCGCTACAGCATGCGTCACCTCATCATCGTTATGCTTTATCTCCGCCATTTTTGCCTTAGCACGTTGTGTGCACCGCCGCTTCTCTTCGCACCTGAATTGTCTGATGGCCATGCGGATCCTGGCTATGTTGCCCAAGTCTGCCACCGTCTTGTCCTTGAGTTCCAACCCTAGTTCCGCCTTAACCCAGTCTGCATATTCGTCCGTGGTCAATGCCGTCGGCACACATGTCGCCGTGTCGCCTTCCTCAGTCTGACACACCTCGCTCGTCACCGCGTCGCCTTCCTCAGAAGCTGACACGTTTCCTGAGTGCACAGGGATATCTCTCGTGGCCGTCGTCATAAACAACGCGCCCGTCATTGTCGATGCCACTGGATCTTTTGCCTTACAATCACCTTGGTTACTGCCGTCGACCACTTCCTCGCCGTACTTGTAGCACGACGTCGTCATGTGGAGCCGTACCGTAGCAATATACCGATCTGCGCCTTCACCATCCTGCGACGCCAGCTCTCTCTCTCTCTCTAATTGAGCAGCGACAGCTTGCCTAATTTCTGCCACGCTCCCGTCACCAGTCGACACTTGCATGCGTTCCGTCACTTCGTCCCATCCGTACCGTCATTCACCGTCACCAAGACCGCCAGTGTAGTCGCTTCGCCCGCCGTATCACCTTTCGTCGGCACTGAAATTGGTTGCTGGGGAGTCCGTCGATTCTTTGAGTGCCATAATCCCCTACGTCACTCGCTTCTCGGTTTTCTGTTTCCGCGCTTGACGTCGGCGTGTCAGGTAGGCCTCGTTGCGCGCCCGTGCTTCATCATCAGGACAGTTCGCTGATAAGTACCCTAGTTGATGGCATGCATAACACTACGTCTGACTGTAGCTGTGGACAGGTGGTTTCGAGTCTGTCGGTGTTGTCTGCGCTCCTACACCCTTAGCTTGACGTTTGGCAGCTTTCTACCAACTAGCTGCACTTTTCAGTCGCTTGGACGGTTGCGCGTACGGAACAGAGGCCACACGGTGATCATCATCCTCTTCCGCACAATCTACTGCTGCAGGAACCGCCATCATGTTGACCTTCGCCTTCTTATAGGTAGCAGCAGGTTTAGCAGCTGGAGTTCGCTTCATTGCTGACGGAGTAGCTGCTGTAGCCGCTCGCTTCTTGGCCGCGGGTTTTCAAATTGATCCATCCCAAGTCCATCCGCGTGGCTCTTCGCTCAAGCCCATGTACTTGTTGTAAACCTCTCGTGGGTTCGTGAAGAGTGATAGTTGCTCCTCTTCGTCAAGCACCGCGCTCGTGACGCCAGGTATTATAGCCATTTGCCCCGTCGTACCATTTGCAGGCACTGTGTACGAGTTGGGCGCCGTGCAAACGCCTGTCCAATGTTCTCCATTCCTCGTGTGACATTGTCGATCAAGTCACTAATCTACGTGGCCTTCTCAACCGTAGCTTCGAGGGTCTTAATCTTCGGCCGATACTGGCTTCCCAAAGCACGAGTAGTACGATCGATGCTCCGGTAGAACTGCTCCAACAAAACACGTTCCTTAATTCCGTTGCTGCCACACAGGTCACGCAATGCTGCAGCATAGTCTACGTACGTCTCACCGGGCGCCATGCGTCGCTACCCAACGCGCCATTCTGCCATCGACTTGTCTGGTCGCTCCCCGTATTCGTTGGTCAAGGCCGTCTTCAACGTACTCCACATACGATCATGGTCGCGCAATTTCCTGTCCATCTGGATCCACCACCTGCCCGCGATCTCTTGTAGCTTGGGTCCCAATATGTAATATAGCTCCTGGTCGGTCCACTCACCGCGCCCTGACAATCTCGCTCCCGTCAATGCTAATTCCACGCGTGCGATCCACGTAGAGACTGACGTTTGCGGGGTCGGAAGAAATGTAGGTAAGTCCAAGTCATCGATCGTGCGGCGTCTGCCCCCCTGCAAGTTACGGTTCCTAAGTGCCGCGGACGGTCGTCTTCCAGACCGACCACTACCGTCGTCTGAGCATCGGTGCTGTCCGAACTGGACGAGCTGCTGTCGTCTTCACCACCTCCATCCCCGTCTTATTCTGCTTGAAGCGTCACACGCCGCTCTGCCACCGAAGATTCCTGCCGCACTACTGTCTCTGGCGGTTGACGTGCGCCCTGAGAGGATGACTGTCTTTCCGTCCTCGCAGTAGTTGTCGTAGTTGTCATCGCAGCCGCATCTGCCGCTGCAATTGGCCAGTTGTGGTGCTGCAAACTCGCCGTGGTAACCACAGCGGTGCCTATGTCTGCCATGCGATCGTCCAACCGTGCCATTAACACCGTCATCTGCATCAACGCCGCTGTCAATTCCGACATCGTAGGAGTGCCCGCCGTGCTACTGCGTCCGCCACAGCCGTACTCGCTCCGTGCTTCGTTCAGCGTGGTGTCCATGCCCAAGGCACTGACTGCGCTTAAAACGTTATCTACGTCGCGATCTTCCTTCTTCTCGACCTCGCTATTCTCGTCGTGGGGCTCGTTTTGCTTCATATCTTCGTTCTCGGTTTTTCGTCGCCCCGTATCCGTCGATTCGTTACCGACAGTTGGGTTTAAAGTACCCTGAATCTCAGTAGTTCACACCACCGCCTGATTCTGCCCCTGTGGTGGTGTCTGAGCCGTAGCAGGAGTCCCTGTCGTACAGGTGGACGTCGTGACTGCCACTGTTTTCTGCACTTGCTTTGTGCGCGTCATTTCGAGTCGTGGCTATGTCGAATGTGTTTGTCGTGTAGCCCCTGTATGACCACCGTGCAACGTGTATGTACCCACACACTTGGGTTTGGTCGTTCGTGCCGATACGGTCCAAAGTCCTGATGGCCGTTGGCGTCAAAACACTTGACACCGCGCCGGCTCGTGCCCGTGGAGGCAGCGAAGCCTACTTTATTTACAACAACAACTAAGGCAGCCTTCGCCGCTGACTACTTACAAATGAGCGTCTACTTGTCGTACACGTCGTGAGTCCTGCCTGTTCGCCTTCCAAAGTCACTTGGGTGTTCGCTTTGCGCGTCAACCCTTAGCGCAACCCACGACAGACTTGGAGACCTCGCCTCGTTCGTTTGCCTGTCCTCGGTCTGCACACGCGTCCGCAGCCGTCCGTTGTAGCTTTCCGGTCGCTCCCGAGCGTCGATATGGAGGATCTGTCCCGCTTGCTCTTAAGCCGGTCAAGTCGGACGTGAGCTCCACGTGTCCCATTCGAATGAGAGAGCCTCCATGGCTCTATTCGCAAAGATCCGGAGCTCTGCCATGCTGCCAGATCTTCCGTCAGCGAAATCTTTCGCAGACTACGTTCCACACTTCGCCCACGTTCAAGGTCGCCAGTCAATGCTTCTACTTCAACCACGCCGTTGGTCGTCGAAACACAGATCTTCTTACACTATAAATTTGACAACGTACGCTACCACTTCACAAGCTTCAAGTACGGTACAAGTTGTGCTCATACCGTAAAGTCCGACGTCTATTACGAGCGTTAATCCTCATCGATTACGAGCAGCAACTCTGTATTGATATAGTCTCGTCATATTCAAACAATCAGAATTGTTGAAAAACACACCTAACCTTGGGGGTGATGTGCATAGTTTCCCCGTGTAAAACATGCCATTAGTTGTTGCGTTTACATATATTTTGCAATTAATCAAATATTGTGAGGTTTGTGGGCGGTAGGCGTGTGTTGGAGGAGAATCGATTAATTACACGGTAGTGCGTCACCTTGTTATTCAATACACAATACTACAGGTACTCTGTTACTGAACTGAAAATAACACCTCAAAATCATACATCTAAACTCTTTGTTTTGACCATATTGCCAATTGGAGTGTTCCTGGGTACCGACCTACAGCAGCTTTGCACGTGAATCGTAACAAGCACATAGCAGTAAATCTGTATCTTCTTACTTTCTGAGCTGCTCCCAGATACTGTGCACATCACCTCCCGAGTTTGCGATGATGTTCCTGCCATCCTTCGTGATCAAATTGCCCTCACCGTCCACGAAGACGAGCATGGGAATGGTCACAAGGCCGGACTTAGTGGTCATGAATCGTTTGATTTCGTGCTCCTCGTAGGGCAGCGCCTGGAACGGCATTTGACCGAAGTATTCGGTGAACGGCGCCGGGTTGCGGTCCAACGAGACAAAAATGACCTCGAAGTCAGGATGTTCCTCGATCATTTCAGCGTACACGGCGCTCAGGACAGGCGTGAATCGGCGACACGGCCGCAACAGTAGGCACTGAAGTAGATGCCAATCACTTTCTTGTCAGCTAACTTGGTGCCCGTTTCCTAGAGACCGTCTTTGGTGTGGAGGTTGGCGCCAAGTTTTCGTTTCTCAGGGAACATCCCTTGAGGTTTATTGCAATCACTTAACTTAGCGCTAACGATTCCTAATAACCTGATAATCTGCCTGCGCCCATGTCCGTCGTCGGAGGCTGTCCCTCATTATAAGAGACTGATAGTGCGCTAAATTGGTGCACAAGACCGTTCCACTAATTAGTCGGAGACCGACCTGATCTCCAGCCAGTTGCTGATGTCGATTGCAACCCAGGATAGTGCTGGTCTCCAGCACTCGACAATATTGTCGCGTGAGTATACTTGTAGCTGTCGGCTGTGTTGCGTGTCCATCGCCAAATTTGTTAATGTATCCGCCGTTTTATTGAAAATTGTGAAATGGTGAGTCCACGATAGTACATTACATTTGTCCGCGAGTACTCTACATCGTTTGTATAGATGTGAAAGATGTTCCGCACGTGGCGAGTGGCGTTTTCGTTGTTGCTCGATTATCATTTTGCTGTCACCAACAACGTGAAGTGGTATCATTCTTGACCGATGTGCTTGTAGTAAGCCCTGCAAGAGTCCTCTGTACTCAGGTTATTTGTCGTTGTTTTGGCATGGTAAGACATGCTTGAGATCCATACAGCCGTCCCCGACGATATACTTCCGTTGGGCTGTACAATTACAGCACCACATCCACCGGGGCCAGGGTTGCCCCTGGATCCTCCATAAAAAAGGGAACGTATCCGTTTGCAGTTGGATTGATGTCGCTAAGCGTGGGCTTCCAATCTCCATTGAGGGCTCCTGCCACTATTCTCATTGCAGCAATTTCAGTAGTCCCTCGCCCCTCCTCGTGGTATGCTATTTGTATGGTTCGGTAAGCTGCTCGTAAACGAAAGCGGAGTGCGGCCTGAAATTTCTCCGTTCTGACCACATTGTTCTGTGAGAAATGCGCTGTGCGCCATTTCCAGATCAGATGTAGTACAGTGATAACGCCAAGGCGCCAGCATTCGTTTGCCGCTTTATGGAGTCTAGACGTAACCTCCAATCGATCATCCCGACCTAGCCAGAAGTGTTCCGAATCGTGTCGTTCCAGAATGGTTGGTGGAACCATCTTCAGAGTAAAGTTTAGAATAGTAGTCAAATCTTGGCTATCAATAATGAGACCAAGGTGTTTCCAGCGTTCTGTAAAAAATTGCCATAATATGCTCGCAGTCGCACATTCCCAAAAGATGTGTGAGAGAGATGTCCACAAGTCCGACGCATGTCGTGTGGGGACATCCCATCGCTCCTTGAGTATAGCCATAGCAAGATAACCCACGTGTTTTGAGTCTGTATATCAGTCGCTCCCCCAAGCACCTAATCCAACAGTCGTCCTAATTTCGTTCCATCCAAGCTTGGATAGAGTTGCGTGGATTGCAGGGTTTTCTGTCATCCAGTCTAGGTTTCGAAGTTTTAGGCGTGCTTCCCCTCTCTTTCGTTGCGGGGCAGCTGCTGCTATTCTGGCTCGCTTCCGTGTGATAGTCCACCTCCTCTTACCAGCCCATAAACATACAAGTCTATCTAGCTGGGGATGGAGGTGAAAATCACTGATTTTGTCTATGCAGAGGTGCTGCTGTACATCTTGCAGTAGCGACGCTTTGGAACGGACATCAAAAGGCTTTCCAGTATCATGGCCAACTACTTCAAGTTTTGCTTGTGGCTGGCTTCGGTTCGTAATTGATAGGATACATGGGTGATCTCTCTGTACCGTGACCAATCGCACTTCATTCAATTGCGACCGGGCCGAAATGATTCCAGGGAAGTTGCCCAGTAGTAGTCGGATGAACTGGAGGATGTGGTTTCGCCGTATAGCGGACGGGCATGTCACTTCGTGGCCTTGGTGAAGTATTTGAAAGGCGATATGCGTTTGGTCGACAAGAATCCAGCGAATAACGTCTTCGACTCTGGTATTTGATGTGACAAAACTTGCTGAGCAAATTGATGGAATGGCCCTCGTGCCGTGTTCCTCATACAGTTGTAAACTTCGAAGCTCCATGAATGGTAGCCACTCTCCGCAAAAGGTACCATTGTGCTCACGATGCCACTGTTGAAGTAGGCCAAAACTATTTCCTTGTAACTTCCTGACATCGATAAGGCAGATGCCTTCTACCCAATCCAAAAATGCCGGAAGCACATCATCAATCGCTCAGAAAACGGCCGATGAGATTGCGACAGGAGGAGGATGTTGTTGCTCGGTTCCAGCAACTGCTAATAATGTTCTTCCTGCTGCCCGTAGATTTGGAGGATGACGATGTTATCTCTCCGTTCCAGGTACATGGTTCACCGTGATGTATATTCCGCTATGGAAGACGTTGACGTCATCAAGCAGAATAGAACCAATGACTGCCATAGTGGAGTCACTGGTGGTGGCCCACCGGGCTACCTCGGTTGCTGCTAGCGCCATACATTCCGCCCTGATGTCGGGAACAGCCATCCCACCGTCTCTTCTAAGAAGCATCGCTATGTCTACAGCAATCCATGCCCGACCACCAGGTTTATCTCTCTCAAAACCTCCGAACCATACGAAGTTATTAATGCTTCTTTGTAGCTGTCGTAGCCATTCCGTGGAAGGCCAGGCATGGCGAAACACAAACATCATCTTTGGGATAATTACTGCCGCAGCCATTGTTGCACGTTGGTCTTCTGTTAGTGACTTGACACAGGCGAGACGCAATGTAATGCGAAGTTGCTGTGTCATGATTATCAGCGCATTCTCGTTTGCATTACTACTTCCAACTTGGGCACCGAAATATCTGCAGAATTCTGTGACTTGCAAAAAATGTAGATTCCCAGGCAGTTGAATTTTGCTAGGAGGGCCTTTAGAATGCAAGGCGATGACCACAGTTTTATACTCATTGATACGGAGCCCACTGCCAGCGGTGGAGAATGCTGCTAGCCTCATTAAACATCCAACAAAGTTGGACTATGCGAGGTATACAGCAGTGTCATCTGCATATCCACCAACTCGAAGTTCAATGCTTTGATCTGCAGTAGCTATCAGGATTCCTTTTAGTTCTGTTGAATGGTCCAGCTGTCGATAAAAAGGATCGAGTGCAAGTATGAACAATAGGGACTCTAGTTCCGTTATGCAGCACCTTGACCACTGTAATGAACTGAGCAGGATATCCATGCGCCACTAGTGAACGAATTAGATAATTGCGTTCAAGAGAATCGTACGCCTTTTGGAAGTCTAGGAGCAGAGCAAGAGCCTCTTGTTGCGTCTTGTCATGGTTTGCAATCCATTGTGCCGCCTTAAAGATATCAATAGTGTCATTAATTTGCCTTCCTGGAACAAAACCTTTTTGATGTTCATGAATAAGTGCCGGAAGTGTATTGCTGACGCGCGTAGCTAAGGGTCTCGTGAATATCTTGTAGTCAGAATTGAGCAATGCAAGCGGGCGATAATTCAGGGGGTTTGATGTGTCACCTAACTTTTTTAAACAGAAAATATCTGCTTCGAGAAATGCGTCCGGAAATACGCCGGCTTCGTACCATAAGTTCAACAGGATTGTCAGAATCGGAGTGAGAGTTGCTCTAAGATCTCGATACTAGTCATTGCCAATTGTATCAGGTCCGCATGCTTTGCCTGCTGCGCAAGCAATAATCGCAACTTCTACTTCGTCTGCTGTGAAATCGGACGTGATATCCTTTTGTTTCGCATCGTTCACACGGTGCCCAGTTGTCCATCGAAGCACGTCATCTACTGGGGCTGCATCGTGTCTCAGTTGATTGAAAATTGGTGTCCAAGCGTCAGCAAACATGTTGGCTTTATCGTGGGTATGTCGACGCGGAGCTCCTAGGGCAGGAACAATTTCGGAATGTTGTTGTCTGCATACTTCAAGGAAGTGGACTTGAACAGCCCAGATGTGGTGCGTTTTGCATGCCATGTGTGTTGTCGAAAGCGTGCTGCCATCTTCATATGCCCTCGCTCTCCGTGCAAGTCAACTATGGCCGCTCGCACCTTCTCTAATCTTGTGCCACCACTAGTGCTTTGTATATCCAGCGCATCAATCCGTGTCGTAATGTCTTCGATATCATGTCCAACAGCAGATTCAGCAGCGATTGCTGCTCTTTGCTGCTTGCATAAACGCGATAATTTCTGTCTATATGTGTTTTTGCATTTGCGGCGTGAGGTTCGTTTGCATTGGACAATGCCCTTGCGTATTTGACATTTTGCGTCTTCCCATATTTGAATAGATTCTTGCGCAGTAGGGGGCTCATATTGAAGTCTGTCATATAGTGCGTCCAACATACCGTTCGTGCAGGCATTGACAAGGGATTTTGCATATTCAAGCACGGGGTATGTACGCTGCGGCTGTTTGACACGCATCGGGTTGTCCGGGGACCGTAAATGCAACTGAGCTCCAACATGATCTGAATGAACTGCTGGCAGCACCGTTTCAGATTCTGCAATCCAGGGATATATCGGTAGAGTGCCATACCATCTATCCAATCGACTTGATGCCTCAATCCCATGTACATGGTACCGATAAGTATGATACTCAGTGTGGAATTGCTGAACTCTCTCATCAGTTGCTTCAGTTGGCATTGTGGAGGACAAACAATCTTGCGCATTCCACTTGTTTAGCAGTCGACGTAATTCAGGTGAGTCATGAGCAGCACTTGCTGTTAAGTAATTTCGATCCAGTCGTGCATCAAGCGTGCAATTGAAGTCTCCTCAAAGAAGTACCCGCCCATGATCTGGAATCGGAAGTTCACTTATCGTCCTGAAAAGTCCTTCTCTTTGAGTGCGGTCGATAGGGGCATATACATGGGCTACGATGATTTCTTTTCCATCAAATTTACCAGCAACGGCAACAAAATGTGGTGACCAGGTCTCTTGCCAGATAGGATGATGGTCTGTAAAAGCACCATACGGATTCGCCAGAATACTTCTCCTCCCTTTTGATCCACTGCTGCGCCCCAATACGAAAGCAAAGGGCACCCACTGCCGTGACGATACCCCCAACGCGCAGCGTAGTCTCTCTGCGCGTCGTCGACGTGTGATGCATGAACGTAAGTCTCTTGCACCAAAGCTAAGTCTTGGAAGCCTTTGGTAGTGGTGCGCCCTAATGAGTGCAGCCATTTCCGGTGTGCTGAATCCGAAGCTCCAAATCCTCGCACGTTTTGAGAAATCAATTCATAACTTCTTTCATCAGCGTGCATGCCTCTTTCTCCGTTTTGGTTATCTCTCCGTTTATCGCGTTCCCGACGAATTCGCTGTTTTGCCTGCTGCCGCTTCAGCTTCTGAAAATCCCGGCGGCGACTCTTTTTCCTCATTTGCGAAGACTGTGGTATGAATGTTTCTCCAATAGTGGTTTGTTTCATACGTGGTATTGCTGAAGCTGGAAGCGACGACAGGGAGTTTGCTGTCACCGTCCCGTCTGGAGCCGCGAGGCCCTTAGTATTGAGTGGGACAGCTCCGGCGAAGCAATTCCGCTGCCTCGCAGTCTGCCCAGGTTAGACCGGAAGGTGCTTCCAGCGAACCACTCCATCCCTTTTTAGATAATATGCTGCTGCATAATCTTTCAAGGAACGGATATTCATGGTACCAGATTGTACGTGCTCCATGTGGAGCCCTTCCCATTGGGGTTGCAAATCATGTGACGATAACGCACGGCAGCACGTGCAGGCGAGCCCATTCATCGGAAGGTATGTCATCATAGTTATCGCGGCATATTTTTTTGGGAACCCATCGTCGTAATCGTTCCCATGTGTTGCTGATGAAGCTAGTGTGCGATTCATTGACTCCGATGCATTTCTTGTACACCACGTTGTGCCAGTTCTGACACAATGCACGTGCTTCCGGCGAGTGACTGTCATCATGGAAAATTCTTGCTAATGCGCTGATTTGTTCTCGATAGGCTCCTTGCTACCCCACTCAATAATATCAGCTAGTGGCCATTGTTTCACCTCAAGCTCTGGATATGGGAGAAAAGCTAGTAAGTGCCATAGTGCATCCGTATGACCTAATAGCCACGTCCAAATGGTTTTTGTTTCAGTCTGAGTCCTTTTCATTGTTGGAATACCAAAGTCGTTTCTAAAATGAGTAACCCATCTGTTGAATGCTTCTTGATTAGTGTTGAGGAGCAACAAGTATTGCGGCACATTCTCGGGAGCTAATGTATCCAGATCGGGTGTATCAAGCACGCGTTTGTAAACTTCCTCAATAATTTTGCCTATTGCGATACGAGGTTCTCGAATTGGAAATTCATTGGATGCTTGGGCAGCTATCGCAGTGGGTTACGACCCACTCGCATATCCATCAACTCCACACGATTCATGAATCATTTGCTCCTCGGTGTGAACAATATCTTCGAGGATCCGTTCGTCCCAAACATCGGCGTTTAGACTTGGTAACCCCAATCGTGCCAGCACTACATCTAGGCGTTCCCGCATCTGGTATTTTTAATTAAAATCGCATTGATAAAGTCATTGTTTGTCATCACATCCAGTGAAGCCACATTCACATCTTGCCCATGTATGAGGTTATTGATCGTTGTGCTCCATGAATAAGACGGGTCCAGTGCCGCTGTATATCCGGGATCTCCTCCCTCTGCATTCCAGCGGAGAAGTAGCTCTCCATGCTGCACCCCTGAGAAATGGTGCTCTTGATGGCGTAAAACAAGTATCGTTGGCATACAATGAAGAGTCCAGCAAACATGTAGGTATTCTCGTGCGTCTCTGTCGTTCAATGCTTCTCCATACCCCGATTCATGATCTGAACCATCGGCGGTTCTGTGGGTTTTATACATATAACGTTGGATATGCGCATCTTCATGACGTTTTACATCGAGTACAATGAGAGGTTCGCGCATGTATTGGGCCATAGCCCTAAGTTCTTGCGCACCTGCCCAGAAACTAGCAGGAAAATTAGCACTCGCAGGTCGATCGCGTTCTTGCGCATAATGGCTGAATAAGCTCGCTGTCGCACTGGCAGCACTCGTTTCACGTTGTAGCTGAGGATATAGCCGTTGTAATTCCTGGCATGGGTCTACCAGTCTGAGTTCTACGTCATGCCTCAAATTAGCCATCATAAGTGCGTACACAACCCGCTTCAGTTTGGTCGCTCCATTCATTGCTGATTTAGGTAGTTTTGTGCCATCATAGTTCAGTGTTGTGGCATGTAACGCCAACATAGCACATTGCCCATTCGCCTCAACTTCAACTAGCTTGCCATTAAAGCTGTCAAGTCAATGCATAAGCTGTATGGGGAGGTCTTGGTCTCCCTCTGCTTGTCCTGGATGCGGTTCTCCCATTGTGAACTCGTCATCCGACGTGGGAGTGAATGGTATGTGGCTGGATGGACCGGCTGTCTTGTTTGCAACTCTGCCTGAGGGTTTCCCCTGTTCCTGTGCGTTCCTTAACCCCGCTGTATTGTTGTTGACCAAGTCGACTATGGTACGTTGGATAAATTCCACACGTGGTTCACGCTTGTTGTACTTCACCAGGTCTACACTTAGAGGTGATTCGGACACCTGTCTTAGTTTTGGCTTTTTAGCTCGGGTATCTTGAAGTCTCTCATCTTCTCGGTGTCGTTCAGCACGCTCAACCCGTTGTTCTGCCTCGGAGAGACAAAATCCCGCCGGAGAGTCCTCGACTGGAACACTATGTTGGTCCACTAGAGTAACAATCTCCTTAGTCTGCATTTCATCTCTAAGGGAGACTGCCTCACATTGGGCTCTGTCAGAACCGATGTCCATGAGGTTGGAAGAGTCAACTTGCTTTGATTGAAGCAGATTGTTGACATGGTGTTGGTCTGGGTATTCGTCTGCTTCATACGCGCAAGGGGCTTCTTCATTGCTATGCGTGCTGCCTTCATCAATTGAACTATTTGTATCATCCTCTACATCTTCATCTTCATCTCCATCGTCGAATTGCCCTGCGGCTCGAGCTTGCTGAAAAAGGGTGAAACTGGAAATCTGCTTCATTCGCTGCACCCGATTGCCATGCATCCCTGTTGCATTTTTGCCGTCTCAAGTTTGGCACGTTGTGTTTTCGCCAGGTTCTTGCTACCTGTATCCCCGTCAGTGGCGAGTTGATTTATCTGCCTTGCACTATCATTTAGCTGATCTGCTTTTCCTAGTTTTCTCGAGGTCTTTCTCGAGTGGACCTTATCAGTGATAGCCGGTTTCGTCCGAGCTTTGTTGGAGACATTTGCATCCTTTTGTTGCGAATGCGTCTTGGTCGACTTTCGAGAAACAATTGTGTAGCCGTCGTCGACTGGTTTATGTTGGTCCACAGGTTGTGCTGTCCTTGGCAAAGGCAAATTCTGCTGTTCTATTGCCTTTTGTTCAGCCATCTGTACAATGGCCGGTATTTGCTGCTCTGGAGCTGCAACCGTGTCAGGTGCAAGCGCCTGTAGCATTGTCGCCATAAATGCATCCAAACGTTCACCATCCGGGTGTCGATATGTCATAGCTGATCCAACTTGAAATACAGCAACCTCACCTTTGCATTTACGGTATCGACGGTGCCGTATCTCGTCCACATTCTCATTTTACACCTTGTAATACTTAGTTGTATGTTTTAGATTCAAACAGCGCGCACAAGGTGCACGTGGAAAAATCAAATGATGATGAATAGTTACTTCCGTGTTGCCAATCTGGAGACGGGATATACCTCGGATTGCCTCTGGGCAGTAATGTTGCTCAAAGCGTACCGTGATGTATCTATTGTCTATTGCGTCTGTGTCCTTCACTCAAGATCGTTCTGCGTCCAGTACGTTAAGACCAGGTACACGAGCCAATGCATTGACAAGAGGTGCCAGACCAATAGTTTTTATGCCCACCATCCGCACAGCATAGAAGCGCTTGAGTTGGGCCGAATTAAAAGAACCTTTTGGTTGATCGGGTCGGGGGTTCTCTGTATCTTCCAGTGTAATGGTTGCTCTTTGTAAACGTAGCGTAGTTCCTTCAT